CTGCTCCGGGCCCTTCTCATGCTGGGCCTCTGGCAGCGCTGGGTCCCATCCCATACCTCTCCTCTCCTTCCTAGCATGGTCAATGCTGAATTCTGCGCTGGAGCCATCCTGATCTCAGTTGGAGCTGTTCTGGGCAGGGCAAACCCTCTCCAGATGCTGTTGATGACCCTGCTGGAAGTCATCCTTTTTACTGTCAATGAATACATCCTGCTTGACCTCATGGGGGTAAGTCACTGATCTGCGGCCCACCCGAAAGGAGGTGACCACAAGTCTCTATTTAGCCTTTTTATATCAAGACCTGCCTTGTCTCTAGAGAGAGCTCTTTCCATCTTCCAGCACGGTATTTTCTATACTCTCCAGGTAAGCGACAGCGGGGGCTCCTTGACCGTCCACACCTTTGGTGCTTATTTTGGCTTGATGGTTTCAAGGAACTTGCACCAGCCCCATTCGGACAAGAGGAACCAGCAGCAGGACATGGGGCACTATCCAGATGTCCTTGCTGCAGTTGGTATGGACCTCAGATCCTACAAAACCAGGATCATAGAAACAGTGGCGGAAGAAAGAGTTTTCCCAAATATCCAACCTGAACCTCCCACCTTGCAATCCGTAGCCACTGGCCCTTCTTCCATCGCCTGGCCCAAGCGAGAAGAGTTTCCTTCCCTCGAGAGAACAATCCCAGCTCCAAAACCTGCCTGTTCCCCTTCCCCTCAGGAACCATCTACCTGTGGATCTTCTGGCCTGGTTTCGCCTCGGCCACCACAGTCCGTACCAGCGCTGAGCCCTGGGCAGTGCTGAACTCCTACCTCGCGCTGGCAGCAAGCACCCTGGCCACCTTCGTCATCTCCCCTCTCCTCCATGAGGAAGGCACGCTGCAGATGGTAGGTGGCCTCCTCCACGGGACTGCCAACGCTGGCAGCCACCCCAGGACATGACCCTAGTCCTACATACCGCCCAAACCCTGTCCTATAGGGACTGTGAGCAGATATACATTAGGGGGGGACAAAGGGATGGGACAGACACGTCTCGTAGATAGATTACATGAGGAAACATCCTGCCCATAGGGTTTTCCAGGACTCTTGAGACACAGTCTGGTCTCTGATAAGCCCAAATCCCCCCAGCCCTTGCTGATGTTCTGCATGAGGGCAATTCCCCCAACCCAGTCCCGTCTCCCTCAGACCCAGGTTCAAGATGCCACCTTAGCCAGCGTGGCCATGATGGGCATGGCGGGGGAGATGCTGCTCGCTCCTTTCGGGGCCCTCATCACGGGGTTTCTGGCCGGCCTGATCTCCCCACTCGGCTTCACATTCCTCACGGTGAGTCACCTTGTGACAGCTGAGGACCCCGATCCCAGGTCAGATGAACCTCCTGAGCTGGAGGGAGGCTGCGTTTCCACCCTGCTTGCTCTGCTGCCGAGGAAAACCGGGGCCTTGCAACGCAGCTTCGCTCCCGCCTGCCCGCTAACCACGACCCGGCCGTAGCCAGAGGGCAATTTCTGCGCCCAGCCCTGCAAACCCAAGCCACAACACGGCCTCTCCGTGAAGCCTTCGGGTGCCGTGAGCTGCCTCTCCGAGCCCTGGCTGTTCTCTGCGCTCTCCCCAGCCCGTCCTGTGCTCCAGGCTGAAAATCCAGGACACGTGCGGAGTTCACAACGTCCATGGCATGCCGGGGATCCTGGGTGCCTTGCTGGGGACGCTGCTCACGGCACTGGCCACCGCTGATGCTTACGGCAACAGGTGAGAAGAGCCAGTGTCAGTGTTGCCCAGTGGCCTCATGCACCCAACTGGGGATACCCGGGGCAAGCTGGACTCCACCGGTGTGCCACCAGCCTCACAAGGACCCACTCCGGGGACCTCTGAAATCAGGGATGCTCCATGCAACCCCTGCTCTGGGACCCCACCTATAGCAAACACCCCGTAGATAAGGGCAGACCCTCGCGCTCAGCCTTACCCACACGTCCCCGCTCCGGCTTGCAGGATGGAGCTCGTTTTCCCGCACGTAGCTGACGGGAGCCGATCAGCCACCTACCAGGCAGTCTGCCAGCTCTGCGCGCTGCCCGTCACCCTGCTGCTCGTGGTGCTCGGAGGGAGCGTGGCGGGTGAGTTTTGACTTCCGGCGGGCGCGGGAG